TCTCTTATGACAAGAAGAAAAATAAAAAATACAACCACTTAATTCTTCTTCCATTTATTCTTACTTTCTTACCTTTCCATCTTCCTCCAAAATGCAAGGTAACATATTGCTTGGATAACTTGTTAGTTCCAAACTTGTACTTCACGGAATGCTAAGCTAGCATGTAATTTATGTCCCTGGAGGATCTTAGCTTTTATGCTAAAACCCAATTTGTTTAGGTACAATAATTGACCATATAAGAAAGAAAGTATGTGAATGCCCCATCGAATTCATATAACAACCTGTAGACGCTATTTATTTCCTTTCTCAAAGAAGGCTCTCTCTTTTGTAATCCCTTCCCCAGGCCCTTTCCTTCCATAGCTGCTCTACTTCATCCAGTGTGAGTTGTTTTGTCTCTGGGACAAACAAGGCGACAAACAGAATAGCAACTAGAGCTATACCAGCAAGGATCAAGAAGCTCCCACCAAGTCCTAAAGCATCAGAAACTGAAAGGAAGCTTTGGGACATTATCACGCTTGAAATCCAATTCACTGTGGCTGACATGCCTCCACATAAGCCACGGTATTCTTGAGGATATACCTCAGAGTTTACTGTCCATGGCACCGGTCCCATCCCTGGCGCAAAGAAAGCAATGTACAACGCTAGGCCCAAAACTGCAAGCCATCCATAGTTTCCATCATGAGAACCAGATGAATCTAGGAACGATCCAGCAGAAAGGATCCCCAGAGACACAACCACACCAGATAAACTTGCAAGAGCCAGCTTCTTTCGCCCTGCGTGGTCGATAAGATAAATGCCAAGGATTGTTCCAGCGGCATTCAAGCTGGAGATAATGAGGGATAGGAGAAGAGCTAATTGTTTGGAATGAAAGCCAGCCCTCTCTATGGTTGTTGGGCTGTAGTACATCACAATGCTGATGCCAGTGAACTGCTGAAAGGCCTGCAGAAAGTCATAGGACAGTTGTAAGAAAACCTTCTTTGGTTACATTTAATGGCTTTTCATTGCTGTCAATTTAGAAGAATATCATACCAGATGACACACTTATACTTAACTTCGCCAGCATATGCTGCCAGGTTTTTGAAGACAAAACATTACATGTTGAATCCTATGTATAAAATCCACAACATGCCATAAAGAATTGCGAACTGGTAGCAAACTGCCAGAGATCGCATTGAAGTTTAATAATAGGTTGAAAACAACATATTCAGAAAAGGGGCAATGACTCAAAATTCATGGAAGAAGATGGCTGTATTTTTGCCTTTGTTTGTTTTAAATGAGTTGGTGGATCGGTGGGCAAAGAGGAACAAGGAGTCAGCACATAGTGGTCGGATATGGAGGTTTCCATTTAAGAAGCATTAGAAGAATATAATACAAGTAGTCAACAACAACCTACGTGAAAATGTTGAAAGATTAATCCATGTTCAATTGTGACCCCCATATGACCAAATGTATGCATATTTCTTTTTTCTGCCGCAAGACATGTTGATCTTACCCTTCTCTCATGGAGGTAGGGCATTCTGAAGGATCATTCTAAACACCAGGATAATCCAAGTTCAAAAACAAGAGGAGTTTCAAGAAAAATCTTAAACCTGAAGTCCGGCCCCTGCAAGAAATGCGAGTCTAATCTCTTTAGTTTCGAACACATCCAAGTATCTAACTTTGCTTTGCCTCTCAAGTTCTTCCTCCAACTGGGCACAACAATATTCCACTTCATCCTCTAAGCGATTCGTATCATAGATCTTGGAAAGTACATAAACTGCCTCATCTTTACTATTTTGCAAACAGTTGAAGATAAATAATAAAGCTTTGAACAGAGGAAACATCTCAGAATAACACTATCTGGTTTAATATTCATTTAATGGGAGGATCAATTTTACCTGCATAAGAAGCCACCGCGGTGACTCAGGTAGGCAGAGCATGAGACAAAACTGAATGACTGCCGGCATACCTGCAACGCCTAGCATCCATCGCCATGTTCCAGGGACCTAGTTTGTTAAATATTGTGTAAGAAGGGTATCCAGGAAGAAACCTCTAGTTGACTGAAAAACCTGATAGAGAAGCTTTGAAAACATGTAGCAAAAGAAATAACTGGTGAACTCTGTATATCAGTATTTCTATTTGCACTTCTCTTATGATAAAGCAAATATAAAATCCATAGTAAACCTCTTTCCAACTTTGTACCAGAATTGAGCTATTTGCAAGAACATTAATAAAATCCATAGTAAAACTCTTTCCAACTCTAGTTGTTGTCCTCTAGCTGAAGCTGATATTTTGTTAACATATATACATCTTAGCAACTTATAAACATTTTCTGTTGCCAGAGAAATCAAAAGCCATAGCATCAAAATGGAAAATGAGAAGTCAAATCCAAAGGAAAGGATTTCCAGTATAATCGATTGGAACTACATAGCCAGAAGATACCACATATTAATTCTAGGAGACTGTCCTCCTGACATATAATGTTTACAAATGTAATTTGTAAATAAGGCCGAATAAAGCTAACCTATGTGAAAGCAAGATTTATGAGGTAGGAGAGAAACTGTCCTCCAGTAATCATAAGCACATTTATGCTCACAAGTCCTCCTCTGATCTCTGAGGGCGCTGCTTCTGCAATATACACAGGTGCAGTTACAGAAGCTTTGCCCACGCCAATGCCAACAAGAAGACGACAAATATGAGGACATATGGATCAGGAGCCAGTGCCATAACTATTGATCCCAAGGCAAAGACTACATCAGCAATAAGGGTGGCCTTTTTACGCCCAAATTCATCATTAATCCAACCACCTAATGCTGATCCAATAATTGCACCCACCAAAGCCATGCTTACTATTGTTTCCTGGCATTTTAAAACTGTTAGAATCTTTGAATGAGGGAGAAATCGTGCAGTAATTTTCCTTTACTTCCAACTGGCTGAACTCGTGGCACTTGGGTAAGAGTACAACAAAAACTACTTATAGACCTTCATTTACTAATTATTCTAAGTTGGAGTGATACTTGACATGTTCCACCGCTTTTACACATTAAACCATCTACATTCTTGCATAATGTATTTATATTTGTGAACACAAAAGATCCAACGTGGAGTTCCGGTGTCTAAGTGATAGGGTGGGCTGATGCTCTGTTTAGACATAAAAGGCTTGATGTTGTGTGACTCGTGAAATATGAAATAAGGCATGATATGGGTATATTAAATTTTGGATTCTTTAGATTTAGATTCAAGAGGAAACAACACAAACTTGTATACCCGTAGGAAACTACTCTCATTCACCCTTCAAAATCATCTTTAATACACAGGAGTGCTCTTGATATAACACCTGTAATATATAAAGGGCTTAAAATGGAGCACGATCATATTCTTTTTTAAGTTGTCTTGAGTCCAATACAAATTTAACCAAGTTTGAAGAAAAATTTGATTTCTAATATCTAAATTGACTGAGTCGAAATTTAGACTTGTAAATAATGGAAGAAAGATAAGACTACTCAAGTCCTTAATATAAGACCTATTTAACTAAGTTGATTAGATTAAGGAAGTTAAGTAAGTTAGTTAATTATAAGAAATATAACATGTTTTTCTTAAAATACCATAATAATTTTCCTTAGTATTTTCTCTCTGTTTTCTACTTGATTATAGTTGAGAGAGTATCCATAAGAGTAATTTAGGAAAAATTGATAAATATGATAAATGGATCTTATATTTAGGACCAAAATCAACTTAACAATTAGATCTTATATTAAGGACTGGAGGAATATATGCTTAAGTGATTGTTAATCTAATCTTTTAAATTTTAAACTAATACCCCTTTCGGTTATAAACATAAAAGTTGGCAGATGTGTTTGTTTTGTTTTTAAATATAAAATTTCAATATATTTTGTTTTTTCAATTTATAATTTGTTTAAATTCTCCTTTATGGAATATAAATACAAACTAATTTTTCTGTTAGTTTTCAGATTAAAATAAAAAATTTATGAAAACTAAGGAACAGGTTTTACAAATAACTAACTATAATTTTTACCAGTAACTAAGAGAACTAATTTTCTTAATTTTTACAAATCACTTTTATTTCCAGACTGAAAGGAATATAATCGAATTAATTGAAGAATTATAACAGCAAGATTATTATGATCTTTTCATGAGAAAATGACATATATTGTGTTTTCACTCTGAACAATTCAAGTGAGTGCTATAACAGAGATGCCAAGTAAACATATGAAATACTCCATCCACTTAAATCTGGGATCTAATTGGCTGAACGGAGTATCGTATTTAACAAGAACCTCCATTACCTGTGTCGTAGCCGAAGAGGAGACCGCCTATCCCTGCGACGGCCGTGAGAGCCAGAATGTAAGGGTTCTTGAACAACGACATTTTCCTCTCTGGACACAATTCTATGTACCCCGAGCTTCCCGGCGTGAACTCCATTGAGATCGTCGTCTTATCACCCCCAAAATTGATTCAGAAAAATGATAATTCTTTCTGCGCTCTGTTCATATATGCAACGCAAGATTTTCTTGAGAAAATAATGCACATTCCGGGAAAACCGAGAGATGGCCCGGAATCATCCGAGTTCTGAAAGCAATCCACTGGGGACATCATTTAAAGAGAAGAAAGGGACCCTTGCGGAAAAAATATCAACAAATTATTGCTTCTCCAACATGCATCTTTCATTACACTCCGCGAAACTGTCACCTTTTCCAATAAAAACAAAATCAATTTTCCCAATTTCATTTCATCATTTGTGGAGTCAATTTTTAGAAATATTAAAATTGAGAAAAAGGGAGATTATACTGTTATATCGCATTTAATTAAAGAGATTGGTCTCACTTGTTTAACAATATGCATGTCAATTTTGTGACAGGCATGTTAATTTATCACCTTTTTATAATTACAATAACTTTCGCTTCCGTTAAAACTGGTGACTTGTTTACATATTTACCAAGCAAACAGCAATTCTGGGCACGATGGATCAGGACAATGAGGGGACAGTAAAAACACCATAATTTAACTAGCGAAAGATATACATACGTACATATATACATATAAATATGTGTGCGTGTATTATCAGAAGGAGATTCCAAAACTTAAAACTCCTCCGAATCTCTTAACCGCGCAAGTCATATTATTCCTTTCCTTCAATATTAGCATACTGAAGGACTACCAACAACATATGCACTATATCTTCTTAAAACAAACAAAGAGTAAACTGACACCTCGACTCCTTAATAAAAAAAAACTTGTTTAACTTTTATTTTGATTCTAAATATAATATCTCAATCTACTTTTTCTCTTACATTTATCCTTTTTTTTCAAAATAGTTCTTGTAATAATGGTAATTCCAGCCTATACACTTGATTACCAAAGATAGTTTAGAAAAGATAACACATATTTATTACAAATAACTAATTTAACTAATTTTCTCAATATACTCAAATGAGTCGACTAGTTCTTATACTAAGGACTAGAAATAGTATTATCATATGATAAACTGTCAATCCTCCAAAGTGAGTGAATGATAGTGACCAAGAGTTTCACTATTTGGGATCTGGCATGGTGGAGCAGGCACTTCAGAAACTCCTTCAAGCATCTGAGAAACTTTCCTCATGGTGGGTCTGAGAGTTGGGTCCTCTTGAATACACCAAATGGCAATCATTACTAACTTTACTAGGTTCTTCTTGTCTTGCAGTGCCTCTTGATCTTCTTCAACCAAATCTTCTAGAGAACCTGCCGTGTAACAGTCACAAGCCCAATCTGCTAAGATTGCTCTCTCCTCATTCTCTGGTTCCATGTCCACGCTTCTTCTGCAACAGATAATTTCCAGCAACAGGACTCCAAAGCTATAGACATCTACCTTGGCCGTGACAGGCATGCTCTTGAACCATTCAAGTGCAACATACCCTTTTGTTCCCCTTATACCTGTATTGGTTCGGCTCTGATTCATATTTAAGAGCTTGACCAATCCAAAGTCAGAGATACGAGCATTAAAGTAGTCATCAAGGAGTATGTTTTGAGGCTTTATATCACAGTGGATGATCTGGGTGCTGCAATCTTCATGTAAATAAACAAGTCCTCTTGCAATCCCAAAAGCCATTTTTAGGCGTAGGTTCCAGTTGGGTTTTGGGTCGCCGTAAAGAAGGTTTGCTAATGTGCCATTGCTCATATACTCATACACCAGCAGCCTTTCTGTCCCCTCCTCACAGAACCCAAGCAAACGAACCAAATTCTTGTGATGGGTCTGGCCAATGACATTAACTTCATTCTTGAATTCCTTCTCAGTTTCTTGCACAAGAAAGGTGTTCAACCTTTTGACTGCCACAGTTACTGCAGTGCCCATTTCTATGATTCCTTTATAAACAACACCAAAAGCTCCTCTTCCTAACTCTTCCTTAAATCCATTTGTAGCCTCTTCAAGTTCCTTATAAGTAAAACAACGCAAATTGGTTTCAACAGCACTGTCACTTCGGCAAACACTTGTACGCTTCTTCTGCAATTTATAAATGAAGGAAAAACCTAGACAGCATGCTCCAATTAATACGAGATTAAGAAAGGCAGAGCTACCTAAGAGGACAGAGCTCACCAAAACCAAAGTGTCCTGATTCTTTCCTTTGATGATTGGAGGACCAGGAGGACCAATTAAGGAGGAATTGTCTTTCCTGACCTTGATCAAGGCCTTAGCACCATTAAGACCCGTGTCGTATTGGCCATTTGAAAGTGGCCACCTCTTCTTCCAGCAACTGTCACCTGATCTGAAAATGGCAACGGCACAGAAGCAATCTTCCATGCAGGCACTTCTGCACTGATCTTCTGTAAAAGGCCTTTGAAGCACATAGTCAGAGAGAGGCCAATCTACATCTGTCAACACTTCAAACTCATACAGATCTTTCCTCTGACTAAGCTCATCTTCTTTACAGCCCTGGACGAAATCTGGTTTACAACCACCATATGGATCAAGAGGATCCAGTAGGGAATAACGTGGTGGGCATTGACACTGTGGCCTACTATTTTCACCCAATGTGCAATAGCCATTATACCCGCAAATGCTTGTTCCTTCACTGACCCGCTGACGCTTACAAATGTTATCTGGCTGAGACCAGACAGGTGTCCAAGTTTCATTACCAGTGGACCTCTTGGGATGTTGATAGAAAGTGAGAACTCCATCAAAGTTAAGAGTAGCTCGAAGATAAAATTGAGTTGGAGAGCCTATGCTCTGGTCTGAGAAGGGGTACGTACCATTGTTCTTCATTCTAACATAAAAGTCTCCCGTTTTGTTGAAGACCAGTTGAATTCCAGCACTTGAGGCATTGGACTCAACAGTACCAGTGTCGTAATAGTCTTCATTAGCGTACCCAGATGGTAAGTTTACAGAATGCATGACAAGATTACCATCATCCTGAAGAACAAGTCGAAACTTTCCCCGTGCGAAATCCGCATCTGACTTCCGAGAAGAAAGCTTTTCTCCCTTCTCCAAAATTTGTGAGGGCAACATGGTGTCTCTGGGATTCCCAAAGGTCTCCCAGACAGACTTAAAGCTGCCATCCTGAAGAACAAAGTTGCCCAAGTCATTCAAGGCACCATGAGCAACGGCACCTGAAGGGCTCACTTCTGGTGTCCATAGAGTTTGACCATCAGGAGAAGTAATCTTAAGCCCTTCTGCTGCAGTAAGCTGAACTCTTGACCCCTTTGGAGCAGGATTGTCTCCATTTGCATACCAAACAACGGTTATGTTTGGAATGTTGGCATACCAGATGGAGAGCAAGAAGAAACTATTATTTTTATGGGGTTGAAAGCCAAAGGCGAAATCCCCAGAAGGTGAAACCACCCATGAGGAATTGCCATCTGCGTTGAAAGAATCACCCACAGTGATGTTACTTCTTCGGGTTTGGGCAAAAACACAAAGGGAAGGCAGAAAACAGAGGAGAAGGAAATTCAGAGAAGAAGCCATACGCAGAATCAATTTTCCTTGCAAAGTTTGGAAACTGGAAGATAGGGAACGCGTTTGAAGTTTGAATAGGAGGCGGCCGAGGAAGTGAGGGTTCCATAAAGAGTGGATGCTCCAAGTCAAGCTCAAGTCTTCTTGGCCGTGGGAAACACGATTCGTTGAATTTTACAAAGGAAAGGACGTTTGTATGGTTGGTGTTGACGAGTGGGACATTAATGGATGAAGAAATTTCAATCACAGACTTTTCTTTTGCCAGCAATATCAGTCATGCAATTAATACATCTTTTCTCATGTTCTAAAATTCAATAAAATTCAAGTCGTAAACACTACGCAGCTTGTACATTTATTTACAGATGAAAATGTTTACGTTTATTTAATGCTTGATAATTATGGTATGAGGCATCAAGACCTTTTTTGTATCGTCAAAAACTCAAGCTAAGAATTGGTAATAAGAGAGAATAACAAATGAAAGCCAAATAATAATAAATAAAAATACATATGAGAAAAACTTTAAATAGTTTTGAGTTTTATTTTACTGTAGGAACGAAAAGCATGAGCTTACAGAGTTCAGTGCCATATTCTGCAAATCAAGTCATAAGATTCAGATAAAAAAAGAAACAGGAAAAGAAAATAAGTCATGAGATAAAATCGGAGGTTGCAAGAAAATAGAAGAATGAACTTACACGGGAATATGTAAAACTCATATTAGCACAGCTTGATTTAGATGCGGCTCCTTTTTTTTGGGGGGGTTTTTTTTTGGGGGGGGGGGGTTTTGTCACAAGATATATTAAACTAATGATGTTTCAAAACATGATTAGATGTTCGTCAAGGATGCATAATTGCTTCAGAAGGATGATTTCTTTGAGATCAGTGAAAATTTTGTGATTCCGTTTTTGATATTTTCAGGAAAGAAACTTGAGAGGGAAAAAATATTACCCGTCATTGGGGTCTGTTCTATTCTTGCCCCCTAATATAATATTCAATGCAAATCTTTATTACGTCGATTTTTTTGGATAATACTTTTCACTCTTTTGAGCCAACATAATTCTCACATTGGTTCGATAGATTTAAATATTTTAAAATTCTGAAGTCTATATTAAGACCCCGCTTTATTTACTATAGAAGTGATGAAAGTTTTAATAGACGTGTGAGATGAAATATGTTATAAAAAAACATTTTAGACGAAATTAAACTTTTTTTTAATGAGATTATCAAACGTAACTAGGAAATTTCTATGAAAAAATTAAGTGAGAACGATGATTGTAGAGAGAGAGAGAGAGAAAATTTGAGCCACGCTTATAAATTAATTTCACTCAAAAAATTAGTTTAAATGAAGATCAGTTTACCAAATCTTCCGACTCCGAGTCAGCATTTCCGACCAAAGATACGAAAAGCTTTGGCGAATGGCTACATATAACCAATACAAGGAAAGAACAACGGCTTTGACCTGCAAGGCATCTATATTACTCACTCCTTCAAATCTTAAACAAGCAAATGGCGTGTAACCAATACATTTTATATCACGTTAAACACAACAGAATTTAACAACTATATACAACATAAATACTCACGATTCCCTCCTATCATACTATCCTTGCCTGTTTTCCCCACTCTGTTTTGTTTTTCTTCTTCTCTGTGGGTTCTAATTAGTCCGATTTGTAGTGTTTAAAATATTCGACTGAGAGGGCAACTCATGAAGAACAGGAGAGCATACATACACCTGGTCGATACGCCCAAGCTGGAGGCAAGCGAGCATATTTTTCCATTCCTGGCTGCTCGTCAAAAGGACGCTCAATCAGTTTAAGCAACCTACGGACTTCTCCAAAATCACCCATTTCTGCAGCATCAATTGCAGTCTGGCAGAGATAGTTCCTGAGGACATATTTGGGATTCACAGAATCCATCGAGCTCTTCCTCTGCTCATCTGAAATGCCGCTGGTAGAAAGCTGTAAACCCCCCCGCCCCAAAAAAAAAAAAAATTGAGTAGATGTACCTTCCTAATCATTCAACAATTCGTAAAACTCACGAAATAAAAACTAATGTATGTGTTCCCGCATAGGAAGTTCAAAGCTAAGTAGCCACTGAAGAAGTGTTCTGAGATACCTTGTTACTGAGGCTCAAACTACAAGAAATTCCATATTTTAAACAACATTTGACGCAGCACTTCTTCTAACAAGTCATCATTTTAATAAAATTTCACCTGAACCACGTATCAACTTAGCAAATCTAAAAACCAACCGTACCTCATGTATATAAGCTTTCACCCAATCAGTCCAGGCCTCCTTACGCTCCTGACCAATATCTAGCAGAGCTGACTTAAGTGGGACCAGTAACTGGTTATCCGGAATGCTTGTATCGGCTTTCAGATTGGAAAGCAGCCTGAAGAAGTTTGTGTAATCAACTTTATCAACAGCCATATGACTAAGAAGTTTACTTATGAGCTGCTTATTATACTTGGGCAAGCCGAGTTTCTTGGTCATTATAGCTTGGTAGTCATCCATAAATTTGGTTCCATACCTGAAAAAAGAATAAATATAAACAAAAAGGCTGAAAAACTCATGAGAAAAGGATAATAAGTTTAACAGCAATTTAGACCAGTCTCAACTAAAAGAAAATAAGGTTTCGGAAATTGCAACCACCTTTCCATGACATAGTTAGCCTCTTTCTCACTTATTAACTTAGCGGCAGATAAAGTTGTTGCGAACTGCGCAATATTCCACAAACCAATATCTGGCTGGTTTGCAAAACAGTATCTTCTACCAGGAAGATCGGTAGTATTTGGGGTAAATCTAGGATCAAAAGCATCCAAAAAGCCAAATGGACCGTAATCAATGGTGAGACCCAAAATGCTCATATTGTCAGTGTTCAGCACCCCATGAGTGAAACCAACCCCTTGCCAGCTTGCAATCAAGGAAGCAGCACGCTCAGCAACCTCCACAGCCCATGCTGATACAAGGTTCCGTACAAACAAAGTTATAATGACATTTATTTGAAAGATAAAAAGAAACTACGTAGAAAAATCACAGGACACAGCGATGTGGTCTAGTATCCCAAGAGTGCATATGCCGCTTCTTTAGCTCACATATTACATAATAATATGATTATTATCTTGGAGGGGACATGCAACTGAAGTTGAAGAAAATGAATTGACCTCTGAAACAGACAATGCAAAACCATCACAGAGTCTGGCTATGACCAGGTATTGAATACCATGCCCCTTTGGGCCTTTTTTTTTGCCTGTGTTTTTTTTGTTGTTGTGGGGTGTGTCAACCATAAAATCTCAACATAGTTACTGATGATTGGCACATGATCAGATGAGCTGATCTCTCAAACGCACTTTGAAAACCTCATAAAAAGTAAACAGAACAGTAGGCCCAATCCACTTTTAAGATGGTCCCTATGAAAAGAAAACCAGCAAGTTCGGTTGAATACCAGCATACTTGTTTGAAGTAAGATCCACAACAGAATGTTCTTCATCACCGGTGCTGAAAGACAAACTTTCACTCTTACTCATGTTCTCAATATGAGGAAAGTGATGTCTAATGGCATAGTCTGCCAAAGCACGAACAAGACCCATGTCCTCTTCACCTCTGGAGGCATGTATTTGGTATGAACCAAAACGCAAAAAAGATTGTGCAACTCTACAAACAATTGCACCAGGTTCTTCCTTAGGATTGCCACTGCAAGTGAGAGATTAATAAAACATTTATTTAATAAAATTTAGCACGAGCAGGGTAAAAATTTTAAAACCAAGAGAGCAGTGACAAGCCAAATCCATTTTTCCGTCATTAACACAACTTTATATCAAAACATGAAATTCTCCTATTACATAGGAATACGACTGATGTAGAATGACGGGAAACAAAGGGGGAGGGGAAGGAGAAAGGCAGGAGAGAGAAAGATAGGGGGAGAGGGCCGACACCAAATGTTTAGTCTCGACAACAATTTAAGGTACTTCTTCATTCATATCACTAATATTTACAACTTCAACTTTTTGCATGATAATAGTGGGATCATCAACTAATTCTATCTTCCTCAGATGCAGGAATTTTTTCTTTCAAAAATTGCAATAGGTTTTACAAATATAACATCAAACAGATATGCAGATAAAAAACAGTCTACATTATTTTAATTTAGATTAACATACTCATAGAACATGTCTCTCGTAACAAACTTTCCCGTGGTCACAAGACAGAGAGCACGAGTTGTTGGAATTCCCAAATGGTGCATTGCTTCACTGCAAAGGAATTCCCTGATGCTGCTACGTAATACTGCAAGACCATCAGCAAACCTACTGTAAGGAGTCTTCCCAGCTCCTTTGAGTTGCAGTTCCCATCTTTCAGACTTTGAATTTAGGACCTCTCCTAGTGTAATTGCCCTACCATCACCCAGTTGCCCAGCCCACATACCGAATTGATGTCCTCCATAACATTGAGCATAAGGCAACCTGTATAGCAGAACACCAGTAATGACTAAATGAGGCATCACTAAATAGCAAGATGTCTGAAAACATGAAGAAACTTACGCTCCCGCCAAAGATGATGCACCAGAGAACAGAAGGGGGAAATCTGGTCTTTCAAACCTGAAACTCAGGCACAAAGATGGTTAATACCTGAAAAGGAACCCCAAGGACCTGGGCCCATAATCTTGTCAGAGAGAGAGAGACAGAGAGAGATAAGAGAGCTGGACAGAAAATACATATAAGTACAGCCAGAATATTCAAAAGCATTACAGCAACTACCAAAAACAACCAATAACTAGCTGTTTTAAAAATTCATATAAGGAAAGAATAAGTGATAGAATTAGAACATAACTTTAAAATTTATTGTTAAATTTTATAGATGAAAACTTCAACTATTTTATACCCACATGACATATTGCTGCAACAAGGAATCTAAATTTGCCAAATATGAATCACTCTTCTAGATACTTTGATATAGAAACTTAGCATTGCTTCAGTATACCAATATTAAAGTACTTAGTAAATGCAAAAGCAGGGCAGT